GAATTATTTATGAAGAAATAAACTTGATTTCATGAAAAAGCCAACCTGTTCTTGAAGAATCAGTGGCTAATTTGTATAAATCTGTACATTAATTGTAAATTCATTCAATGCGTAAGGTTTTTAGAAAAAGAATGAGCATGAAAGAACTGTTAAAACAAATTGCGATGACATCATGCTAGAAGGACCATGTGACAATGAAGCTTTTATAAAGGGCCATTGAAAATTAATCTTTTCCATCACATCAATAAATGCAATATTTCATGTATTTTAAAGTCAACCCAGGCTCATTATGGATACGTACCCCTGTATAAATTTCAAGAGTGCAAAACACATCCTAGGAGGTACGGGTTTTGGCAGCTTATTTTTTATTTTTTCGCAAATCCACCAGAGGCCACTGTCAACTGACCGAACAACTGGCCGACCAATATACCCACCCACCCCCTTCCCGAAACCCAACCAATAGAGTTTTCAAAAATAATCCAGAAAAAGAAAAGACACCTGATTTTCACAATGTTTTCAGACTTCACTATGGTATTTACTAATTTTTTTGCATTTTGTTTTCCTGCTTTCTGTTTTTTTTTGACAAACTCAAACCCTGTCATTGCGGTCAACTCCACTCTGCAAACAGAAGACATGACTTCCCATGCTTTCTGGTTTTGTCCTTTGTTATTTACATTTTGGTCAAGCATATTTGATTGGTTTTCTAAAGCTTATAGTAAATCTTTACCACCTTATGCAGAACTTGCTATTTTCGAACATTTACAACACATCCCTCATCTCCCAGACAGACTCCAGCAGTCTTTGTCTTTAGGTATGATTGTGGCTAAAAGGCTCGTGCTCCAGCATTGGAAGTCATCTTCACCCCCTTCATTTCAAATGTGGAATGCGGACATGATTTCGGTAATACAGATAGAAAGACTGAAATTTCTGAGGAATCATTTTATTGAAAAATTATTGAATATCTGAATGAATAACCAGCCACTCAACCTTCTTCAGAGACTTTATTTATTTATTTTTTATTTATTTATTTATTTTATTTTCTGTTGTCACCTGCTAAATTATGTTGTTTTGTTCATTGATTTATTGTATGACTTATATTGTATGGATCTGTCCGGGACTGTCCCGAGTGTTGTGTTTGTGTTTCTTTGTGGTTGTTCTTGAAAAATCCAATAAAATATAATTATTAAACAAATTAAACTTGTTTTTTTTTTGTTAAATCTGAAAAAAGGGGACATCAGTGTAAATTTGTTTATGAAACTATTTTTGGGGATGATAAGTACTCTTTGAATAGTAAGGATAATTTGACAATATTGCTCTGCTTCAAGACAGATCAATAACCGCCTCTTTTCTAGCTGTAAAAATGGACCCATCAAGCCCTGCACTCTCACTGTTCGCTCTCCTCCTCTCCGCCTGCAACAGTCCCTAATTAGGATTCCTCTCCCAGTGGGCCATCAGATGCAGGAAAGCAGATGTGGGCCTCAGAGACAGAGAAAAAAGTACCGTTCCAGCTGCTACACACACACACACACACACATACACACACAAACACACACACACACACACACACACACACACACACACACACACACACACACACACACACACACACACACACACACACACACACACACACACACACACACACACACACGCACGCATGCACACACACACACACACACATACACACACACACACACACACACACACACACACACACACAACAAGCACACTCATAGAGTATACTGTACACACACCATCATGTCATATCCGCGACATGCAGCGTTGTCATAGCAGGTTTCCATCAAAACAACACCTATTAGCTTACAGCATGTATGAGAAGAGCTGTATGTACAGTATCATCGCAGTGCATTTCATAAACACTTACATTCACACTAAACACCTCAGTCTCAGCAAGGAAAGGCATTTGACTTCCTCTCCAGGTCTGTTTATGTGAAATGAGCTGTTAAACCTGTGTAATGTGTTACTGAATGAGGATTTCACCAGTAGTGGTGAGAAAACAGACCATATGGTGAGAGACAGCAAAAAAATAAAAAACTCCTCAAGACAGCTTTCAGTACAGCTTTAGGCACTTCGCTTTCACTCATACTTGTTTGCTTAAACGTCTAAATAGGGTCATGATATATACTAAACACTTTATTGCATTTTTATTTGTTTCATTTTTCATTATGGTTATTTATAATTGCTTTATCAATATCTAAAATTCAATACATGAAGAGTTTAGATGCAAAAATGTCCTCTAAAATTTGTATTTTTGTCAGACTACTGTGTGTATTTTCAGTAATAATACTTTTATGGCAAAGACTAAGTCCTTTTCCTGATCTTTAAGGTAAAATATCTCAACAAACAAAGAAGGCTGAGAAAAATGTTCATTTTTGATGGAAAATTTCAGATGAAACTAGAGGTTTTTGCATCTGAACTCTTCATATACACTTTTGTCATTAAAAGGCTGAGACCAGTAAGAGTTTATTTTTTTAAATAAATAATTTTTTCATTCTGAAAGCATTAAATTGATCAAGTGACCGTTTATGGCAGCTTTTTTTTATAGTTTTAAGTTATTCATTGATAAAATGTTTCAAACAAATAAAATAAAATATAAAAATTAGAATGTATATTATATGATTATTTTACTATCATATTTCAAATATGTATCAAAATATTTTAAAAACTGAAGCAAAAATAGCTGAAAAGATCCAATTTTACAAAAGAGCAATATTTCAATTAAACATTTGTATTGTTTCCCCCACAATCCAAAGACAAGATATTCAATTACAATGTGGCGGTCCTCTAAATCAGGGACTATGTATTAACATTTTTCTAAAGATATTTAAATAATTACAATGTTATTAATTATTTATAAATATTGTAATATAAATATTTATTACTATTTTTTAAAATGAATAGAATATTTATACATTTATTATGATAGATTATTAAATGCATAAATATTAGAATTATATTTTATTATAATTTCATAGAATTATTTCATAGAATTATTTTATTCAACAAGAAGTAATATTAAAGTAACATTAAAAATGCTGATCATATCATAAGATATATCGATTCAGTGCATTCAGAAATTATTCATAGAGCTTAAATTTTTCCACATTTTTTTATGTTACAGCCTCATTCCAAAATGGATTAAATTCATTTATTTCCTCAAAATTCTACACACAATACCCCATAATGACAATGTGAAAAAAATATTTTTTGAAATTTTTGCAAATTTATTCAAAATAAAAAACCTGGAAAATCAAATGTATACAAGTATTCACAGCCGTAATGCTCAATACTTTGTTGATGCACCTTTGGCAGCAATTACAGCCTCAAGTCTTTTTGAATATGATGCCACAAGCTTTGCACACCTGTCTTTTGGGAATGTTTACCCATTCCTCTTTGCAGTACCTCTCAAGCTCTATCAGGTTGGATGAAAAGTGACGGTGTACAGACATTTTCAGATATCTAAAGGGATGTCCAATAGGATTGAGGTCCGAGCTCTGGCTGGGCCACTCAAGGACATTCACAAAGTTATTGTGAAGCCACTCCATAGATATTTTGACAGTGTCCTTTGGGTCATTGTCCTGCTTGAAGATGAACTGTTGCCACAGTCTAAGGTCAAGAGCACTCTGTAGCAGGTTTTCATTCAGGATGTCTTAGTACATTGCTGCATTCATCTTTCCCTCTATCCTGACCTGTCTTCCAGTTCCTGCTGTTGAAAAACATCCTCACAGCATGATGCTGCCACCACCATGCTTTACTGTAGTGTTGGTATTAGCCTGGTGATAAGCGGTGCCAGATTTTCTCTGAACGTAATGCCTGGCATTCACTCCAAAGAGTTCAATTTTAGTCTGATAAGACCAGAGAAATTTGTTTCTTACGGCCTGAGAGTCTTGTTTTTATGACACTGTATAACAATAATTTATATTTTTACATTACTGTGACGGTTGGGTTGAGGGTTGGTTTGGGGGTAGGCATTAAAACATACAATTTATTGGGTAATTTAATAGATAGCATAAATAATACTCCTTAAACGTACTGTTTTTACATTACTGTGACAGTTGGGTTTAGGGTTGGGGAGGAGGGAGACGTTAATAAAATATAACAAATGGGAAATTTAATAAATAATTTAAATAATTCTCCTTGACTTCCGGCCTCAACCTCTAGCAACAACCCTTTTCCCTTGATTACTCAGCTTAGATGGCCGGCCAGCTCTAAGAAGAGTCCTGGTGGTTTCGCTTATGGATGATGGAGGCCACTGTGCTCATTGCAACTTTTAGAGCAGCAGAAATTATTCTATAATCTTCCCCAGCCTTGTGGCTCGAGACAATTCTGTCTCGGAGGTCTACAGACAATTCCTTTGTCTTCATGCTTGGTTTGTGCTTTGACATGCAATGTCAACCCTTGGACCTTATATAGACAGGTGTATGCCTTTTCAAATCATGTCCAAACAACTGAATTTACACAGGTGAACTCCAATTAAGCTGGTGAAACATCTCAAGAATGATCAGTGGAAACAGAATGGACCTGAGCTCAATTTAGAGCTTCATTGCAAAGGCTGTGAATACTTATTCTTAAGGCTTGTTTAAATAATCATTAAAGGTTGATAAATAAACAAATAAACAAACAAATAAAAACAAATAAATAAATAAATAAATAAATAAATAAATAAATAAATAAATAAACAATCAGTATTGCCATGATCAATACCTTTAAAGTCCTTATTGCAATCATTTGCTCAACAATTTATTGTTAGTAATAAATTTATGATTGTGACTACTCTAGTCTATTTATGCATGCAAATAGATTCCTTATCTTTTGTCTCATTTCTATTATGTATATAGACCTATCCCATGAGAAATAAAAACACATTAAATGACCAGGTATAAACAGTCCCTATGTCTTTTAGTAATTACTATTCACTTACAAATAAGAATCAACCAAGAAGCAGAAAAGAAAACATATGTATAAAGAAAAAACCTTACCTCGAGCAGGACAAGGAATGAGGACTTTGCTATTAGCCACACTCTCAATGACAGTCTCTCCATTTGTCTCAAAATAGGGGCCCTCTGTAACCACACACACACATCACAAGGTTAACCTAAGGGTCAGAATGGAGCGCACAGGAGTAAGTGATTTGTGACCATACCAACCGGCAATGTTTACACACTCATAAACGTCATTATTTAGATTGGCTGGGAACGGTGATTTATTGCCTAAATTGTTTTGGTGTGTAATGAATTCTTTGTGTAATGACAAATGTTCCTAGTTTAAATAGTTTATGCACAACAGACGTACCTAATACATCCAACACAATCTGAATGGTGTCTTCTCCAGCGCTATTCCTGGCTACACATCTGTACGTGCCGCTGTCCGAGTGCTGGACTGCCTGGATCTTCAGCATTCGATCACTAGCCACTGGAAGCCCATTATGAAGCCAGCTGACCTGTGGACTCGGCTCTCCTTGAACCACACACGGCAACACCACCGTCTGGCCGATAAGAGCCTTCAGAGTTGAAGGAGCTGGATGAATCCTTGGTTTAGCTGTTAGGAGAAGAAAAAAATTATTTACAAATGTCTGAACAGGTACACCTTTGATTTGGCCCATCATGGCATACAACAAGAAGAGAGAAATAGGGTGTAAATGAATGCCATCTTTATTCTAAATGTATATTTTTTGCTGTGAGATTTTATTGTTGCTTTATTTGACATAAAAGCCAGTTACAGCAGGATAAACAGGTATGTGCCAAAAAGTTTTCCTATCGGGGGAAGTTCATTTATTTCAATAAGTTGTTTCAAAAAGTAAAACTTGTGTGTTATTGTCACGCTGGAAGACAGAGATTGTTATCTTTTAGCTGGTGAGTATGCAGACACACAGTTCTTTTAGTACATAACGTATCTTCAAGTAAAGATCCCTTGATCAGCATGAAGGACTGAAAGATTCATAAGGGGCATTCATGGAAGAAGGAGTGAAGACGAAGGAGCAAAGGTGAAGACTGACTTCAATACTGGCCGAAGAGTGAACGGAGGTGGGTCTTTATAGTGTTCTTTGATGACAGGGAACAGGTGCAAGTCATTAGAAGGCTGGTGAAGGTTCACAGGATTGGATGGAGGTGGTTTGTGAGGGAGAACATTGATTGGGTGTGCAGGAAATTAAAATCATCATCTCCAAAAAGCTTGAGGAAGCATGAAGTGCTGCTTTAACTATGGACTTGATAAAAGACAATGGACCCACACCAGCATATGACTGTTTAAACCACCACTGACTGGAAACTTCACACTGGACTTTAAGCAGCTTGACTTTTGTGTCTCTCTGCTCTTCCTTCAGACTCAGGGATCTTGATTTCCAAAAGGAAAACAAAATTAGCTTTTATCTGAAAAAAAGGACTTAGGACCACTGTGCAACAGACCAGTACTTTTCTCTTTAGCTCAGCACAGAGGCTTCTAACATTGTTTTTGGTTCAGGAGTGCTTAGACACATGGAATTCTACAGCTGTAGCCTATGTCACGCCTCAATCACCCTTGCTTGACAATCCTCTAAAGGCTGCGGTCATACCTGTGCACCTTTTCCAGTCACATTTTCCCCTTCCTCTACACTCTACTAATATACTTAGATATTGCACTCAGTAAGCACTCAGCTTCTTTTGCAATTCCTTTTAAAGACTTTTCCACCTTATAGAGGGTTCCAGTGATGGTCTTCTGCACAACTGTAAAGTCAGCAGTCTTCCCCATGGTTCTGAAGCCTACTTGGCCAGACTCAGACAATTTCAAGGCTTTGCATTATTTAGCTAGACTAGATTGAGACAGAGAGCCTACATGTTGAATTCTGTCATGATATTCTAATTTTGTGAAATACTGGATTCAAGTTTTTTCATCTTCAATCCATAATCATTAAACTTGAAATGAATGAAGGCTTGAAATGTTTCCCTTTGTTTGTAGTGAACAAATACACCACACAAGTTTCACTTTTTGAAATAAAGTTGTGAAATTCATAGACTTTACCTAAATATTCAAATTGTTGGCAAATTCCTGTAAGTTAATAGGCCTTTGTACCCCTTGACTTTTGTCTGTTATGTTAACAAATTTAGATTAGAATTTACAATTGTAGTTTTAGATTACAACAATAATAATTTTCCCACCCACATTTTTATGTTTATACAGTACCAGTAAAACATTTTGGGTCAGTTGTTTTTTTCCATGTTTTTTTTTTTTCAAGGAAAATTATTCTGTTCATCAAGGCACCATTTGCTAAAAATTAAAATAATAATAATAATTTTTAATAAAATAAAAATTATTAATTAAATATATATTTATTACTTACTGTATGTAGTTTCAAATTAAATGATTACTCCAGCCTTTATTGCTTTTATTACTATTACCATTAATAATAATAATAATAATAATAATAATAATAATAATAATAATAACAACAACAACAACGGCAATAATAATAATAATAATAATAATAATAATAATGATAATAATAATAACTATAATAATAATAATAATAATAATAATAATAATATATTAAAATAAAAGATTAATAAATTTTTTTTATTTTAAAATTTTTTTAAAGAGTGATTTCTGAAGGATTATGTGACTCTGAAGACTGAAGTAATGAAGCTAAAAATAAATCTCTAAATACACTGGAATGAATAATTAAATTCAATTATAAACTGCTTTTGAACAGTTATTTTATAGTGCAATAGCATTTCACAGTTTTACAATATGTGCTGTATTTTTGATTAAATAAATGCAGCCTTGGTGAGCAGGATAAACTTATTTTAAAACATTTAAAATCCTACTGACCCCAAACTGTTGACCGGTAGTGTATGTTTATAATATATTTACTATGTATGCGCAACTCTTATTTTGAAAATGAGACTGGCATTGTTGAGCTTTCAGGTATTGCAAGCAGGCATGGAGTATCTCATCATAGATTGTTGTCAGGATGCAGAGTTTGTATTTATAAATTTATGAATGAACATCTAAAACCATTTCAGGAGATTTGTTAGACCAGGGTTGGCAAACTCGGTCCTGGAAGGCTGGTGTCCTGCATATTTTAGTTCCAACCCCAATTAAGCACACCTAAACTAGCCAATCAAGCTCTTTCTAGGTATGCTAGAAAGCTCCAGGCAGGTGTGTTAAAGGAAGTTATAGGACACTGGCCCTCCAGAACCGAGTTTGGTCACCTCCGTGTGAGACTTATCTAAGCTATTATATTGATTTAAGTTATTAAATCAGCTAGCTCTCTTTAACTGGTCACCCACTGAAACTGTGCCTGGTCAGTACCTGGATGGGAGACCACATGGGAAAGCTAGGCAGCTGCCAGAAGTGGTGTTAGTCAGGCCAGCAGGGAGCACCCAACCTGTGGTCTGTAAGGGTCCTAACACCCCAGTATAGTGACAGGGACTTTATACTGCTCAGAAAGCTCTGTCTTCCGGATGAGATGTTAAACTGAGGTCCTGACTATCTGTGGTCATTAAAAATCCCAGGATGTCCTTCAAAAAAAGAGTAGGAGTTTAACCCCGGCATCCTGGCCAAACTGTCCACGTACACATCCCCATTTCATAATTGGCTTCATCATTCTGTCTCCTCTCCACCAAGTAGCTGGTGTGTGGTGTGCGGTCTGGCACAATATGGCTGCCGTCGTGTCATCCAGGTGGATGCTGCACACTGGTGGTGGATGAGGAGATTCCCCTAAAAATGTGTCTAGAAAAGCGCTATATAAATGAATATATAATATAAAGAGATTTGCAGATGACTCATTCTCAATTCCGCAAGAATTACCCAACACAAATGGCCAACTAATGTTTTGCTTTTACATTTTATATTAGACTATTATTTGTGCACAAACATATCTAGATATAGTAATAAACATATTGTTTGTTTGAAAACAAAAAAAAAATGTTGTCATGCCTACAGCAAACTTAAATGAGCGATAATATAATTAAGTGTGGTTGGGGTCCTTACAATATTTTCTGGGGTTGGGAACCACTGGTCAAATATGTATTACCATAGCATAAACATCCAAGCGAACACAAATTAGATAAAAGTAGTGGTGATGATTATTTCCATTGTAATAATTGCACATTTGTAACAATATTATAATTAAACTTTCACTACGCCATGGTACCATAACAGTATTTTTGTTCACATGATTCATGATGATGACAGTATAAACAATTTGATGACAAATCAGTCAACTGAAAAGAAACATTGTGGAGTTGTCAATACTAGGAGTTTATCAAGCTAAAATTCATAGTAAATGGTTTGTTAATAACAAGAATTGTACCTTAAAAATAAAGCATGAACTAATTTGAAAAACTCTACGAAAATTTTGCCGCTTCATTCATTTTGACTGTTTTTTTCCCATCAATAAATCTTGGCAATATTTGATTGTACCTTGTACTTGTAAATTATAGGTGAGTGAGACGTTTCCAGCTGGATTTACAGCAGAACAGGTGTAGAGTTTACTGTCCACCACCCTCACATCACTAATCTTCAGAGAACCAGACGGCAGCATGGTGAACCTGCGTAACAAGAGGTCAAAGGTCAGTCTGTGAGGTCTGGTTTACAGTAAGTGCATCTGTAAAATGTGGTGTATATAAAATGCTCCTGTGTATAAGCACACGCAAGCTGGTTTCTATCTTGCGCAATTGAAACCTATTGAGAAAATCAGCCTGGTTCCATTTGGACATTTTGAACATGTGCTTAGAAACTTTATTATGGCAACCTAAATACAAATACAACTAATACATCCGAAAGGAAGCTACAAGCTTCGATATTCAGCAAACCCCATTGGGAAAAAAGCACTCTGCTTCTCACAGCCCTTTTCAATAGTTTAATGCTGAGGTCTCTAAATAATGGATCACAATCAAGATTCATACCCAGCACTGACTTCCCGTTGATTTAAACTTCATTTCAATCACAGTTTATATTGTGACTATAAGTAACTTTCCATCTATACGTCAACTGGCACTCAATAGAGTATTAGTAAGCTGTTTATGTGAGGTTTAGATGAAAAAGTCTGCATGCTTGTAAATGTACTGGTGTACAGTCAGCAGAATGTCTGTCTGTAGATTATCAAATTAAAGTGTTAGCAGATATTAAGCAGAGTTTACTAATACTGTATAACAAGTGCTAGCTGACATTTGAGGGCATAAACACTCATGTAATATTAAACCCTTTAATTTATATCTATTTTTAAAATAATTTCCGATCATTTGCTAGAACAGTGTTTCTTGAACACGTTCCTGGAGGACCCCCAACACTGCATGTTTTAGATGTGCCCTTTGTCAGTCACACCCCTTACAGGTCTTTCAGTCTCTGCTAATGAGCTGATGAGCTGAATCAAGTGTCTTTGGTTAGAGAGATATTGAAAATTTGAAAAGCGGGTAGTCCTCCAGGAATGTGGTTGAGAAACACTGTGCTAGATTAAGCAGCATTATGCTCAATTCCCATGGGGCATCTGCGCCAATGCTTCCTATTCACTTTGACGTGAAGTGTTTTCAAATTGAATTGTGAATCCATTGACACCATGTCAGCAGCGTTGCTCACTGCAGAAGTTTTTAACTTTTCAAGTGCCAATGGAAGCGTCAGCCGATCAGATGACTTTATGCAAAAGCCCCAGCTCAGACAGTAGCCAATTAGTGTCTAATTTCATTGGCTAATGCTGTTATGACGATCATGTCAGCACCAAGCTTCAGACACACCCTCTGTCTAGCATTTTGCTAAGGCCCCATGTGAATGTACTGTTATTATACAATTTAATGACAATTTTATCATTATAATTTTCTTTTATTATAATTACAATATGACTTCCAAATCAAACATTTATTATGAAGTAAGTATTAGATTGACATTTCATTAATTTAATTTAAATATTTGTTTCAGTTGTTTTTTAATTGTCATTTAGGTTTATGTCATGAAGGTTATCACTCGATTGAATCACCATTATCAGTGATTATCAGCTGATATGGGCCAGTAGGGGCCTTCTGCACCGACTGGTAGGCTCAGAAGGCTGTTATCATCCATCCACATGGCTAATCAGCAACACTAAAAGAGAAGATTTCCGATCCAGATCTGTTTTTACATTACTGGGATGGTTGTGTTTAGGGTTTTGGTGGTAGGGTAGACTTAAATAAAATACAGTTAATGGGAAATTTTTATAAATAATATAAATAAATCTTGTGAACTTCCGGCAACAGCTGTACTGTATGTGATCTATAGCTAATTTACCATGTGTATGGATGGCATCTATAAGCTGATAACCACTAATAAAGTCCATTCAATCAAGTGATAACAACTGACTGTCAATGGATGCCAGCTTGATAACGAATATGTCATAAGCATTTTATAGCATAACGGCTGAATAATGATATTAAGTATGTATGTAAGTGTAACTTGTATTTTGCAGCCATAAGTTAAAAATGCAAAGATTCTGCAAGGTTTATGTTTAATTAAAGAACTTGTTAACTATTGCAGCTCAATATTTTGTTTAACTGCTAACTTTTTATCAAGTAACTGTTTAATAAGCAGGATAATGCACATTCAACAGTTAGTTCTCGCAGAAAAAAACTGACAAAAATATTTTTGTACATTTCTGGATTGATACGGTCTCTAGATCTTCTTTGATTATTATTATGTTTTACAAAGCATGACAGCTGCCAACTTGAAAAGGCACCATAGATATTTCTAAAATGGCTTAAGTTTTGGAGTCGCTTATTTATATATATATATATATATTTTTTTTTTCTCTCGAGTTTTATGGCTGCCAACTTGAAATATCTTCTAAAACAGTTCAGTTTTTATCTTTCTGTTTTGTCCTTCTATTTTTATTATTTTCACAAGGCATTATAGATGTCAGCTTGAAAATTTACTATTAATATTTGTAAAATAGCATCAGTTTTGGACTGGATTTTCTTTTGTTTGTTGTTTTTCGTGGCTGTCATAGTTTCTGTAATAATAAATTTAGTCATTTCTGAGTGATTGTTTTTTTTTAGATTTTTTGTTATTAGTTTTGCAAACCATCAAGATGGTATAGGAATCATGCTGGCATCTAAAAATATACACACATTAGCAAACTAGATCCATTGACTACCCATAGTTTGACAGGATAACATGATAATAAGCAAAAGTATTTTTTCCAACAAACAGCAAAATCCAGTTTATATTTGTGGAGCAGTTTAAAATTGGACTATATAATCAAGGTAATCTGGAGAGCTAGTATTGCAAAAAGAGAAAGAGAATAAAGGTTTACAAAATTCCAGGTTAAAGCCATCTGGTGCCCCCAAATACCCCACAGTCACCCTGAGTGTAGATTAAACACTCTTTCCACACACAATCTTCTTTCCTGTGTGGCAGATGTCTCTGGAGTGGCGTGTTATTCTCGTCAGGCAGACCAAGACGTCGACATGCTGTTTTATGAGACAGGAAGCTCCTGGAGATTCAAACATTATGCAGGCTACACTTTTTCCTGTGTGACTATCACTCAAAGCACACACACACACACACACACACACACACACACACACACACAGTCATCCACATGTCTCATTCTTTGTCTTAGCAGGAATACAGTACCTCATCGTTCCAGTAATTCCCTGCTCTTACAGAAATACCCCACTACCTAATTCTAAAGCTGTCATCCATACATTCTTGCACTACCTACAGGTTTCTGCTGCATTCCTATGACTAATGCCATCTACATCATTCAACCACATCTAAAAAAATCTGATTATCTAATTCTGTTTCGTATACCTCAAGACTCACTGCTATAAGTTTAATAATTAGTATTTTATGAATTTGCTATCTTTCCTTTTAACTTCATGATTTTATAAAATGCTGCTTGAAGATCTGACGCATGGGGCACACAACATATGATTGAATAAATTGGTGAAACTCTCAAAACACATAATTATTTCTGAGACAAGGTGCCTGCAGATTAAATTTGTTCTTACTTAAGCCAAATAAATGAAAGTCTCGGTCCATCGGGGTGAAATCAAATGTGTATCCTTCATAACAGAGAACCAGTGGTTCTTATTGAATCGGTTCTGGCTCTTGTTCTTCTCCAGGGGAGTTGAAATGAAATAAGACAAGTCAGCTGGGGAGAATTCTGACACAGCTGAAGGCTTTTATAGAGGGATACATCACCTCATCAGGGCCTATTACTTTACAGCAAGAAAACTTCATCACTCATCATCAGAACATATTTTTACCATTTATTACGCAGAGCCCTATTCTTAAAGCTAATAATGTGCAAATGGTTTTAGTTTAAAACAGCGCATTTTTTTAGTTTGTGAACCAGTTTCAGTGAAACAGTTTCGTTTTTTATATAAATCTAGAAATAAAACATCAAAATAAACCGAAAATTGGCATCTTTTCACAAACTTCATTCACAAAGTCATAAAAGTTTTAACCACACAAGGGTTAATATTTAATATTTATTAACTAGTATTAAAGACTTAAAAGGGTAAAGAGTGAATGTTTAGGCATATTCATGAAAATTGTATTGTTTTCAATAAAAGTCTTAAAGCAATAGGAATTTAATACGAAAAAAAGAAAAAAACATTAAAAACATTTGGGTCTGAATAAGTTGTTAAAATAAGTCTCTACTGCTCACCAAGACTGCATTTTATATGATCAAACGTACTGCAAAAACAGCAATATTGAGAAATATCACATTTTAAATAATTTATTACTGTGATGACCAAGCTGAATTTTCAACATTATTTCATTACATTATTACTCACATTATTATTATGTCTGGTTTTGTCTGGACCAAAAAGCTGCGTGTGAATACACCAAACGGACGAATGGCAAGTGAAACGAGAGTGCGCATTCCTGACCTGCATGGGAGGACGTGTCTTTCTGCACGTAGCCAGTGGTCTGTTTTCTCGTTCACAATGAGTGACCAGAACGCATGTGCAAACAAAGTAGCGTTTAGTATCATTATCAGAGTAATTGTCACTCAACACAGAGAGATTTGCTTCTGCGAATATGTCTGATAATCGAATAATCCATATCATCTGCAAATATTTGAGAAGTGAAGCTTAATATTAAACTAATTTGGAGAGGAGCACGCGCTCGTGATTGACCTAGCTGGCCCACATTAGCTAATCACGATCCTCCAATCGAAGGATCCCAAGTGACTATATATATCTTCATTTATGTTCTACAACTATCTTCATTCCTCTCCTACTTCTACCTTTATCCAAAATGGGGGGCACGGTGACCCAGTGACTAGCACTGTTGCCTCACAGCAAGAATACCAACGGCTCCGGGTCCTCGCTGGGCCGTCTGGTATTTCTGAGGGGACTTTGCATGTTCTTCCCATGTCTGCGTAGGTTTCCCTCTTGTTCCTCCTACCATCCAAATTACTTTATATTATAGACAAAAAAGCTTAAGTCTCTTTTTCTAAAAGACTTACTCTCAGGAAGTTCAACTTTGCCTCAGCACTGGGGGAGTTTTGCTCAATCTACCCTCACCCTGCAAAAGGGAGGGAGGGAACCCTGAGCCCTAGGATCCCTTCAGCTCAGGGCTCTCTCCCGGGACAGCATGCCAAACAAGCTATGTTTTAATCATGAGCTAAGTGGGAATTCATGTAATATAGCAAAATTACAAACTTCTTTGTGTTCCTTCTTGACTTGATTTATTTACTTGTTACGTCACATCACTACATTACATTCAGGCTTTGATTTGTTGCTGAATAACCAGTAAGATCGTTCTCTTCAGCCGATGATCCGATGACAATTCAACAAGCTGAATTAACCAACAAGCTCTGACAATAACCCAATGAGAGGCGACATGTGGAACACACCAAATCAACTAGCCTGACGGATGACTGACGGATCACCAAAGCCCAATGGCTGACTGTTGACTTTGTGTGTCCCGGCCCTAATATTATTCTCCTAGAGAAAGCTTTTTAATAATAATATGTGTCTTAGTAAAACTTATATAATCAACACGGTGCACAACAGGTTTGTTTTTTACCATGCTGTGACAGGAGGTATGGTCTGGCCATTTCTGCTCCAAGTCACCAAAGGTGTAGGACTTCCCTGAACTTCACATGGAAGGATGACCTCAGATCCGACCTCAGCTGCCATTTTAACCGTCACCTGTGACCCATCAGCACCAACAATCCTTGGTTTGCCTATTGGATTGACAAATTGAAAAAAAGTTAAATACTCATTCGCTTTGAAGTAAAATTGACTTATATCTATGAGATTCCTCACTATTAACAATCAGATGCATCTCTCGACTGGTGTAGCCTACGGCACTTGTGGCAGTGCAAATATAAACCCCTGCATCCTCCTCTGTAGGACTGGAGATGTACAAACTCCCATCGGCTGCCTCAAAAGGTGCTGACACAGGCCTGTTTAAGGGATCTCGACCCTGAGGAGAGAAGGTGGACAACATGAACACCCTGAAACAAGCATGTTGTTCCAAAGAGTGGAATGCACATCCTGTCCAAAACCTCTGAGCGGCCTCTCAGGTTGCCAGAAATCAGGCATTCCCTGCGCATATCCCTCAAACAAGATGGTTTTAGCAGACCTTCTTTCATGTGACCAGAATAGCAATTTACATGCCTCGAGTGGATACTGCGGACAATACACCGCCAATCTATCGTGTTGTGAAACAGTGGTGGAAAACTTCGCTTCCCATCACAGAAGCAGGCGGATGTGAGCTTACGTTTGTTTGAAAGGCAATTGGGAAAGTGATGCATCAAAGATGAATAGGCTGCTTCAGCAGTTCTCCTGCCTCTATTATGCTAAATTATTCCAGCTAACTGTTTAGCGCTGCATGCTATCAGTCACTATACATCACTGCTGAAATGGTGACACAGCCAGAAACGAAATTATTGAAAAAGAGGAGCCGCAGTAAAGGTCTGACATTCACAGAGTTAGAGTGAAGAATAAAATGGTGTGACTTCACTTCAAATTAAACCAAGCCAGAATAAAGAAACTGCTCACTGAAGTAAACCATTAAATGTTGATCTGACTTGTAAACACTTAACTAGCATTGGTCTGTGGAAATCAAGTAAGTTATGGATAAATTACAGAGGTTGCAATCGCAGAATAAAGCACGACACAAAGTGGAGGGGTGTGTATAAGACTAATAGGTTTGATTCTCGAAAAACAACCATCGTGGATGTACTTTATCTCACTTATTACACAGCTACTTGCCACAAAACATAATCAGACACAAAACATTGTTCTGAGCCATACGGTGGCCCACGGTGGCCTTAGCATGCTGCAATTTAAGAAAACACATGCAAGTACTAAAAACGCCAGCAAATTAAGAAAAGATCTTCATCTGTTTGACAGCACCTCCTCACAGTGCATACACTGCATTTTCTCACAACGCAAACAATTTACAAAAACACGCTGCATTTTTTTTACAACACAAAAAGAACAGAACACAATGGAAATGTTTCAAGGGGACCCAAAACAGGACTGACGCAGTGACTACTGCATCTCGATTCCTGTATCTTTAGTATTTATTAGCCTAAATAACCATAAGTTAAATAGCCAGGTTCGTTGTGTTGTGAGAAAATGCAGCGCGATTTCGTAAAAAAGTTTGCATTGTGAGAAAATGTAGCACGTTTTAGTAATTGTTTGTGTTGTGTGAAAATGCAGTGCATTTTTTAAAAAATGTGCTTGCATTGTGACTATTTGTAGCATGTGTGCTGTCAAACTGATGAAGATTTTTTATTTGTTTTAATTTGCTGCCGTTTTTTGTAATTGCATGTGTTTTTCAAAACTGCTGCATGTTAAGCTCACGCGGCCGACGTCTATAACAGTTTATTAATCCTTCAATAAATGGAAAGCTGAAGAAAACAAAAACAGTTAATGGAGTATACACTAACATCTGAATTATTCAGTCACAAGATGGCGCCAAACAGTCAAAAACAGTTAGATAGAGACAAGTAGATACATATGAAGGTGGATGTAAGTATATGGATTTTAAATACATTCACTGATGGTCAGGGTGATTCAAAGTTCCCGACTGTGCCAGAGTTATTTATGACCCGGTAAGGTATGGTTCGATACGCTTTTATGGCCGTTTCCACTGTCAAAAGGTACCTAAAAGTGAACAGTACTGTACTACTTTTTGGTACCCTTTGCAAAGGGTACGTAGCATGACAAAGGGTCCCAAAAGGCAGAGCTAGATGAGCACCTGAACGCTATTGGTTTAAAGAAAAACGTCACTTGCTCCTGCAACAAGCCAGGAGAATAAAAAAATAAAGAAATCACAATTTTTAAAAGCATTACAGTGTTACAGACATTACACTGTAACACTATATAAATATAATAAAGAGCCATGGTTGACCTGAGCCAAACCTTGTCATCATCTTAATAAACAGCCACAAAGCCAAGAAGAAGAGCAAAATCTGCCTTGTCCTGTTTTTGTTTTATGTGGCCGTCATAAAGTGTGAGAGGTTTCAGTTTATCAAGGGAGCTCACGATCGCATCTATTTTTGAAATAACGAAATTATTGTTTTGATAATAATGTATGCATGCTCCTGACATCCGATCTTTTCAGAAACAAACAAGCCTAAGAGGGAAGCACGAAAAAAAAAAAAAAGCCGGAAAAAACAAAGGAGCAAATTATTTATTTTCAGCAACCTAAACCATGAACCAACTGCCATGTTTAACTATTATCATCACCTTTTGGACTATTATAAACTCGGAATGATGGAATTACTCTCTAACAAGAGGTTACATGTGCTGCTGAAGATTAAAGAGGAGTTACAGACTGTATTTTAAACAGTGCTGGCAGTTGTTCTGACAAAAAAGACTGTAGGGATCAGGACGATATAGGTACCTTGGACCAGCTGATGGTGGGTTTGGGGACACCTCTTGCTTCACAGGACAGGGAGATCGGTGTGCCCTCGCTAGCTGTGTAGTGCAGGGGACCAGCCTTGATATCAGGAGGGGCTGCAAAAGTAGGTCAAAATAGCAGCTGTTGACCAGACCTTAACAACCAGCGGTTCACAATTAGATCTCCGCCAAAGATACTTCTCAAGGAATCCAGCTTATCACTTCTAAATGTGCCAACCTAACATTAGATTCTGTTTTCATTTCATTAGGGACCAGATAAGTTACTGTACTGCAAAAATAGTTTTCTTAATATGTGTTTTTGTTTTGATTATTTAATGACATGCTTATTTGGAAACTAATACAGTGATATGAAGTTCATATTTCATAGTTTAAATTTTACAATAATAATAATGATAATAATAATAATAATAATCCCTAAAACTCGGCAGGGACAAGTAAACTGAACAAAAAAAGTTTGCTGATTAATTTATTCATTTATATATTTTAAATATGTTTCAATCTGAAGAAATACGTTCACGGGTAAACACTTTAGATAAAAATGTGATTTTTACATTTGTATTAATTTATGCATTTTGCATTCATGTTTTATTTGCCTTTTCTTTGAACTTTTCATCAGTGTTTGAACAAATTACTTCTATTCTTTCATTCCTTTTTCTTATAAAGTAAATGTTAATCTTTAAAATTATGTTAATTTGAAAACAATATTGTTAAAATTTACCTTTTTAATTTATTGATATTTATTGATATTAAGATGGTTTTCACATAATTTTAGAGCAAACTCTAGGCTACAAGATCCAGATCTCAAAAGTCTTGTGATCTTCTGAACAAATATTGAGTGTGTTTTTGATGAAGTTATTTCAGTGACTTCAAAATTTTTGTTTTTCACTAACCACACATAAAAATTTATTTCTCAAAAGCACAATCTTGTACTAAAATGTTGCCAATGTATTATTTTAGCCCAGTTTGTGCAGTTTACAGAGGAGTTAGCCTTTATATGTTTTATATGTTTACAAGCTTCTGAAAAAACAGAGAAATGTCAGGGCACATCAGTTCTCCAGTGCCCCAAAATACCCTCAGACCCCAGAGGGTGAACATTTATTAATTCTCATTGTTTTCATAATCTACTAACTGTCTTCTCTTTAGACTCATGTTATCAATGTGCTTCTAACTAAATCTTGACAGCCAAAAAATGAATTACACTCAATTATACCAAACTCTGAATACTAACCATGAACTTCAACAGTGACAGTAATATTGGCAGATCCTGCAACATTAACAGCAGTGCACACATAAGTCCCAGCATCCTCAGGCACAGCTCTGTCTACATGCAGACTGCCATCACTCCTTAGAAACACTCTTCCGCCAACACGCACCTAGGCAGGACAATCAGACACAATAAAAACATAAGGGCAAATGTATATTCCCATTTCAACCTGATCAATTTAGATTCCTCAAAAGAAAGATCGTCATATTAGCTTAAAGAAACATCATGCTTTAAGAAGCCTCAGTAAGCATCACAATGATGATTATTAATAAATTTAGATATTCCAAAATCTAAATTGTGCTATTTGTTTCACAACTGTAACTCCTCTTTAGTGTCTGTATATTATAAACAAATACTGTAGGTATAGCTGGGTTTAAGGGTGAAATTAAAGAGTCAAATCAGGTAAGAACACAATAAGTGCATGTTACCAAATGATTACTTTAAATGTAAATAGTACAACATAGTAGTTAATACCACAATAAAAAGTGGACACATTTTTTAAAGGGATAGGTAATATAATTATGTCACTGTTGCCTCACCCCCAACTTGCTATAAACCTGTTTAAATGTCTTTTTATAAAATACAAAAGTAGATATTTTGAAAAATGTACAAAATCTATAGCCATTGTATCTTTTTTCCTATTATGGATGCTAGTGGCTACCGGTTTTCAGTATTTTCAGAACATCTTCATTGTGTTCAACATACAAAAAGAAACCCATGAAGGTTAATAAAGAGTAATAATGAGTACATTTTCTTTAAATAGCTAGCTGAGTGGGGTGAAGCAGTGGCGCAGTAAGTAGTGCTGTCGCCTCACAGCAAGAAGGTCACTGGGTCGCTGGTTCGAACCTCGGCTCAGTTGGCGTTTCTGTGTGGAGTTTGCATGTTCTCCCTGCGTTCATGTTGGTTTCCTTCGGGTGTTCCGGTTTCCCCCACAGTCCAAAAACATGCAGTACAGGTGAATTGGGTAAGCTAAATTGTCCGTAGTGTATGAGTGTGTGTGTGGATGTTTCCCAGTGATGGGTTGCAGCTGGAAGGGCATTCGCTGTGTAAAAACTTGCTGGATAAGTTGCCGGTTCATTCCACTGTGGCGACCCAGGATTAATAAAGGGACTTAAGCCGACAAGACAATGAAGCTAGCTGGGTGAAATGAACTCATTTTTGTTACTCACTTGTTTCCCATTGTGTGTCCAGATCCTTTCAGGGAGAGGAATCCCATCTAATAACCTACAGGGAAGGTTTAAAGGCTGAGCAATCATCGTAGTAATGGATGGAGCGCCTTGAACTAGCAACGGTGGTTCTGCACAAATGACAGATCATTACATTGAGACTTTATGATGCTAATAATTGTAATATTGACAAAAAGAACCATTTATTTCCATACCTAAGCCAGTAACAGTGACTCTCGCTAATGCCTTGATAGATCCGAACTGGTTTTTGGCCTCGCAAAGATAAACACCTTCATCATCAACCCAAACACCTGGAGGGATCAGAGAAACACTGATTAGAAGATAAATGATTCTTTTGAAATGGATCTTATAAACAAATTGTTTCATACTTTCGTCATTAACAAGCCATTAAGTTTAATTAAGGCATGCTGTAATGAATGTGAAAGAGATGTGTGATCGCTAACTGCCTCACATGGATTTTGTTTGTGTATTTTTTGTGTTTTGGCAACAGCTTCATTAATAAAGAATAATCTTGACCTTTGTATCAGAGTCAAAATGAAAACAGAACTGAGAACGTTTAGCCATAAATGGTACTAGTTTAACAATATAAAATAATTATAGACAAAAATATCTTTTTACCTATATTCTAACTAGCCATATATAGCTGGGGATTTAAAATACAATACAGAGGGGGAAACATGTATTGATCACATCACCATTTTTCTCAGAAAACATATTTCTAATGGTGCTGTTGACTTGAAATTTTCACCAGATGTTAGTAACAACCAAAAAAATCAATTAACAGGGAAAACAAATGCAAAGAAAACAAACTTAATTAGTTTACAAACTATGTGTAAATGACACAGGAAATAGTTTTGAACACATGAAGAAGGGGAGCTGTAGAAAAGCAGTAAAAGCCCAGACAGCAGCCGAAATCTCTCAGTAGTTATTCAGCAACCCTCTGCCCTTCGTCATTGCAAATTAATATCAGCTGCTTCGGTCCAACATCTACATTAGCAGGATGATGAAGATGAAACCAGAGTGGACATGTCAGCAAGACAATAATCTAAAACACAGCCAAGGAAACTTTCAAATGGTTTCAGAGAAGGAAAATCAAGCTGTAGAATGGCCCAACCAATAACCTGACTTGAATCTAATTAGAAATTAAAGATCAGATTTGATAGACAAGACCAAAAGAACCATCAAGATCTGTGAAAAACTCACACCTGAGCAATTCATGTGACTTCATCCCCCATATGAGAGGCATCTATAAGCTGCCATCACCAAAAAGCCTTAATATTAAGTATTAAATATGTTTCAGTAGTTAAGTACTCTCTTCTTGTGTCATTCCATTGTTATTAAACATAACATTTTTTTATTCAGATTTTCTTTATTTTGTTATATTTTTATGCTTGTATTGTTTGGGTTTTTACCAAAGTCGGTTTCAATCCCATGTCAACAGTTCCTATAAAATTATTTTTCCAGAAAAAAAAAATGTGTTGAATACTTTTCCCCCACTATATGTGTCTCTTATCTATTATTATTCTCTTTTAATTAGATATATCAGTTTATATGTAGACAATCACTCAGAAAATTTATTTCCAAAATGTGTTTCCGAGATCATTTAATATAATAATTTATCACTAATTTAAATATATTTAACACAGACATATTTTGAAAAAGCAAAAATGTCGAAAAATGCATGCATATTATTATGCTTTTTTACATTATTGATCAAAATAAAACAAAACAATTACAATTAGCTTATTTACATTCTGAAACTTTAGTAAATATACTATGTAATAGTGTTATTGAATGATTAGTCATGTAAAATATTCAGCAAATTTCAAAATATTTATATCAACTCATGGCAATTAATTTATTTCAAATCAGGCATCTGGTATTCATTTATTTAATTACAACCAGTCATAGCCTTTATGTTTTGGACAAATTTATGAACCTAATTTGCAAATATTTTCTACTTTAAAGCTGAATAAAAACAGATGCCACAAACAATCTCTTTAATCTAAATGAGGCAGACATCTCTGATGAATGATGATTGGTATTTTTAATGACATAAATCTGCATTCTGCATTTTTGGCATAAATAATCAAGCATAAAATTTTCAGATTTGTGCAAAATGTATTCCATCCTTCCTGCTGCTGGCACATTTGGATCAGAGAGAGAGAGAAATATGGCAGTGCTGATTTGCTTGAATTTACAACCCAGCTATTAATTTCATTGTGATGACAGTTCTGACTTCATTTGCGATTATTCATTCTCATTTGAGACCATTACGCACACATTACATTATATGCAACCGTTCATCTGATTTAAAACAAAGAAGCTGTTGTTATAAATATTAGGCAACAGTCTGCATGCGCGAAATTCACACAATAGTAGTCATTTGCACTCACATGGTAGCTGTTGAAACTGCTGGAAATAGTATAACTCAAAGCTACATGTAAACAAGATATTTGTGTGCAAGTATACAGTGTAGGTGTCATGTTCCGTGTTGCCACATTACTCACATTTGAATACATTGTTTTCCTGCTGAGCAAGACAACAGTGTTTTGCATTACAGCATATTCATCACAAAATGTGGGATAGAATATCAATGCCACTTTGTTCATTCAGGGACTCTGCACTGGACTTCTGTCTTAAACTGAATGCGATGCTTCTTATAAGTGATACTTTACTTATCATAGGTTAACTATCAGTTTTAAACATTCGAGAGATATGCACATCATGGTTGCAGAAAACCCAGAAGAAAGAGTCTTTTATATACAGTATAGAAATAATAGAATTTCTAGAAAATATTATTTTGATTTTGATAAATTCTGAATTTTTTCTTGCAACTCTGAGATTATATCTCATAAAACAGATACACAAATACAAAATACACTCTCTCTCTATACTTGGCTAACAATATAAACCAGATTTGGGCCCTTTGCCGTTGATAGTTGCCAAAAGCAAACTTGATGCAAAACTACACTTCAAAGTACAAAGTACTCAATGCAAATATATGCTGATATGATATGTTTTGTAAAATATCTAGTGAATAGAAGTAAATATATGTTCTAGTGTATTTATATTTAAGTTCCAGTAAAGTAGCTAGTTTAGGCCATACTTTACAATACTGTTTGATTAGATGAAATAATAATGAACAACAATTAACGTTCAAGGTTACAGAAGTAACCCTTCGTTCCCCAAGGAGGGGAATGGAAGGGCTATAAGTGGATTTGATCTTCGTGAAAATCCACGTATGGGAGGTTTCGGATCAGAAGCCGCTTGTCTGAAGAGTATTGAACGGGCCAATGAATGAAATGAATTGGCAGCGTAAGCTTGCGCAGGTGTGCTGCATTGCCAATTATCCCAGCATATAAGCACACCTGGAGTGAGCAAACGCCATCCTTTTAAGCTGAAGAAACTTTCAAACAGTTAAGGGACAGTCATTATGGTGACGGAGTATAGCACTTCCGTTCCCCTCCTCGGGGAACGAAGGGTTACTTCTGTAACCTCGAACGTTCCCCTTCGGTTGGGGAACTCCAGTGCTATAAGTGGATTTGATCTTTGTGAAAATCCACGAATGGGAGAACTATGGAAAGCGCCATAATGACTGCACCTTACCAACGCCCCCGATGAGGGGATAGTCAAACAAGCGTGACGCACCCACATCATGGGAGGCACGGTCCTCCAACGTGTCCCTGGCCCTAATTTATCCAACTTCAACAGAAGTCTTACGGATTTAGATATATTTTTTAGGAAGTCGTGAGCATCTAGATAATTCTAGGAAAACATGACAGTACATTGGGAAGCGTGCAATCCCGATAGGGAGGACGCTGCGGAGGCCATCCATTACCCAAGGGGGGATAGATGGAAGAATTTACATATGGACTAGCCCTAAAAAGGGGGAGTACGCATAGCAAAAAAGTGGTTAGCGGAGAGGGAAGACACGGGTCCACCCAACCGTGGCGGAAAAAGCATATGGGATCACCTAGTGGTGATCACGCATAGCAGGAACCTATACCTAAAACGCGGGCTGACCCGCAGGCAGACCTACAACGTAGTAGGCCAGCAAGTGACTCCTCCGCTGAGTCAGTGCTGGGGGCTACGAGGAATCTGCAGGGCTCACCGGACGGGGAACTTTACTGACGGATGAAAAGACGAACGTACCTCCCTATCGAGTTGTTTCCTCAATCACCAAAGAGTTACCTAATACCCCTGAGGAAACTGGCTTTACTCGCAGATTGTAAAACCTTGCAAATGTGTTGGGTGTCGCCCAGCCCGCAGCTCTACAGATGTCTGTTAGAGAGGCGCTGCGTGCACGCGCCCAAGAGAATGCAACGCTCCGAGTGGAGTGTGCACGCACTCCCGGGGGACACGGCTGACCTCGACTCGAATAAGCAAGTGAAATGGCATCCACAATCTAGTGGGATAATCTTTGTTTCGATACGGCACTTCCCTGCTGCCGACCGCCATAACAGACAAAGAGCTGCTCAGATGATCTAAAATTCTGAGTACAGTCCACATAAATGCGCAGAGACCGAACTGGACAAAGTAAGGAAAGGGCTGGGTCTGTCTCCTCCGGGGGCAGCGCTTGCAGGTTCACTACCTGATCTCTGAAGGGGGTGGTAGGAACCTTGGGCAAAAACCCGGGCGGGGTCTCAGGATGATGTGAGAGTAATCCGGTCCGAATTCCAGGCACGAGTCACTGACCAAAAATGCCTCCAGGTCCCCGACCCTCTTGATGGAGGCCAACGCAACCAGCAGAGCTGTCTTCAGGGACAGAAATCTTAGAGATACTGAATCGAGTGGCTCAAAGGGATCTGCTCGCAAACTCGTGAGAATGAGGGCGAGATCCCAAGAGGGCATGAGAGGGGGGCAAGATGGATTAATTCGCCTAGCACCCTTAAGGAACCGGATGATGAGGTTATGCTTTCCCACGGTGCCGCCAGCTACCGCGTTATGATAAGCGGAGATGGCGGCCACATAAACCTTGAGAGTGGAGGGCGACAGCCTGCTGTCCAACTTCTCTTGAAGGAAAGAGAGCACAACACTGATCTGGCAGATACGGGGGTCTTTTCTGCGAGAGACGCACCATTCAGTGAATAGACTCCACTTCAGGGCGTAGACGTGCCTCGTGGAAGGGGCTCTAGCCTGAGTGATGGTATTAACCACCGCAGTCGGTAGGTTAAGTCTGCCTCGCGTCTAAAGACCATATGTGGAGGCGCCGATAAAAAGCGGTGGAGAGCGAGGAACACTGCCAACAGCTCTTGGCGATTGATATGCCAATGCAACTGGGCACCTT